GTCCCATGTGTTGTTGTTTTTCCGTAGCCTCGTCGCACCTCCGTTCCCGAGCTCTGCAAACATCTTTCTTTCTTCATACATCAACTTGGTTAGGGCTTAGGGGTTTGGGGTTTAGGGTTTTTTTTGTCGCCCAGGGTTTGGGGTTCAGGGTTTAGGGTTTAGGGTTGGTTGGAAACACAAGAGAACGTGCGTAGTTTTCGCTTAATAACTGGCTACTACATGATGCTACATATAGTTGCAACGAACGTTTAACCGATTTGTTTAATCAACACGTAGTTTAAGCTGCATCGTATAGTCAGAGCCAGCTACTACCTCAATGATACGTGTTGAGCATCTAACATATAATTTGTCGATTACACGTTTGGTGTCTCACCAATGTGTGCTTCTTATAAACTCTTGGACCGGCCACGGCGACTCCACCAGGCGTAGGTCCTCAAGTGTACGGTCAGATGCTACAAGAACCTCTCTCCGGTCATGAGTAGACAATATTAGCTTCTAGTCGCTGTCGTCTATACATATAAAACCCTCACGTAGACTCTTGGACCGGCCAATGGCGACTGCACCAGACTTAGGTCCTCTAAAGCGCACAGTCTTGTAGACGTAGGTCCTCAAGTCAGAAGCTACAAGAACCTCTTTCCGGTCATGAGTAGACAATTAGCTTCTAGCCGCTGTCGTCTATACATATAAAACCCTCACGTAGACTCTTGGACCGGTCAACGGCGACACCACTAGGCGTAGGTCCTCAAGTGTACAGTCAGAAGCTACAAGAACCTCTCTCCAGTATGAGTCGACAAGTAGCTTCTAGTCGCTGTCGTCTATACATATAAAACTCTCATGTAGACTCTTGGACCGGCCAACGGCGACTGCACCAGACTTAGGTCCTCTAAAGCGCACAGGCTTGTGGACTCTTGGACCGGCCAACGGCGACTCCACCAAGCGTAGATGCTGCTGCTGAGCCGCGGCCTCCACCGCCACCGCCTGCATTGCATCTCAGACAAATATGCTATAAAAAGGCAACTTGCTCAGAAGAGTCACAAGAGTGCGGCGAAAATCTCATGTTGGACTGATTTGTGCATAGCATGCAATATTTACTTTGATCTTTAGGTTGCTGCAACTCTGTCTAAGCCCCGTTCTAGAGGAAAAGAGAACCTTTCAGCTGGCCTTCAAAATATACTCGTCTAACACTTTATTATCACATAATTAACCTGATCAACATTTCAGTTCTATAAGCTTCAAGTCTATCTAACAGTAAACGAATCTTCACGAACGTTCGATCACAAAACATGATGACATGCTAATGCCAAGTTGCACTGTTAATCTAAACACTTAACTCAGCTTAAACCGTCTTGATTTGGCTTTTACAACATGTCTATGTAAATGATGTTCGAACACGCAATATTATGGTCACGTTTAGGGTTTTTCATGCGTTGTGACTGACGAATCCTTGGTTCGCAGGTTCGGCTGTGTTGCCTTGCGTTCTGCCCTGCTCTGTCACCACACTGGAACCCGAAAATTGCCATCAGCGTTCTTTTCGACAGCATTCACCTGCGCACGAACACGATGATGAATTCCAGGGAGTACATATCAAAACAGGACCAGTTTCTCAAAGTATTGTTATTCGCGTTCCTCTGTAGGTATCTAATGAAATGCACTAGGAACCAGCCCCGAACTAAATCCCTAAAGAGCCCGAGCGGCATCGAACACACGTATGCAAAAATTACCAGCATAACAACTGCTGCTTTAATCTTCGAATAGAAATTACGATGCATGTGTTGTTGCCTTGGTTCGACGTAATATGCAGTTAGTTTGGTCTTGTATTTGTATATTGCTCATCGAGTGCTCATGTGAAGCTTGCATGTATGAGTTACCAGCGCAGCCTATCTGATATTCAATCAACAATAATTATTGCTCCTGTGTTCGCTATTGTGAAGTTAATCTTGGATGAGCAGTTGAAATTTCATAGTGTTTTACATCATGCTTGAATCTGTCAATAAACAGACTAGAACATATTCAGACAGCATCCAATATTTAGCGAATACTGAATGCACGATTACAATGACATAGATAAATATTGAGCACAAATTCATGTCATTTGTAGTTTTTTCACCAACGTTCAGTTCATTCATGAAGACGTCGTTGTCGTGCTACAGGGAGTCGCATATAATGTGAGTATGTATGTATGTATGTATGTATGTATGTATGCATGTGTGCATGTGTGCATGGATGTACGTATGTATGTATGTATGTATGTATGTATGTATGTATGTATGTAACGTGTGTGTATATATATATATATATACACATGGACATATATCTCTCGAAAGCGAAAAACTGGGTCCATGTCATGACCATGTGTCACCATCCGCTTCAAGCATGCAGGCTCTTTCATATTCAGAGTACGGGCGTAAAGCGTGGCCGGATCTTTGCCCTGTGGTCCTTGCGCCATCTGCGTCACCTGCACCTACACCACCTGCGCCATCGGCACCATCTGCGCCACCTGAGCCATCTGCGCCACCTGTGATCGTGGGGCCGTGGGGTATAGTATTTATCCATCATAAATCATAAGTACATTACTTAATAACCATGCCATGACGGTAAATATTTTCACCAATGAACACTGATGCTAAGTCTGCTAGCACGGTTAAAAAACCTTTCAACGGATGGTTCGGGGGTACGGCGCACGATGCGGGCGGTATGGGGCGGGGTGCGAAAAAGATCATGGGAAGCGGGGTGGAGTGCGGGGTTCTGGGTGGAGTGCGGCGTGCGGGTGCAGTGGAGGTTGCGGCGGGTTACAGGCTAGCTGCCGCCATTGCGATAGTTGTGCCGAAGATGCAATGCACGAATGCACAAATTGCATGGTGTTGCCAACAAGCTTCGAGTGTAAGTTGGATCTGTCTTGTCTAGAACGATATGAATAGACTGGGCGAAAATTATTATACCTAGTGGTGAGTCCCCGTAAGTGACTCCGGGAGTAACATGACTGAAGGTTGGTGGATACTGAGCCTCACGAGCGACTCTGCAACCCCTCGGTGCCCTAAACCCTAGTCCAGTTGCCACACCCTAATCTTAGGAAACTTCGGAGAGGTCGGGTCGAGTCGAGTCGCCCGTCAGCCCTTAAAGCCCCTCAGCGCCAGGAAAAACGAGGCCGAAAAAGACAGCAAAGAAGCGCCCCTCCGCCGATTAAGAGGACCCTGCTGATGTATACTGGGCTATACTGGGGGTTTCAACTTGACACATTCCTAGGCACATGATGCTATGTAGGTGGACATACCCAACTTTTCAGAACCTCGTCTGTGCCACGCAACGCTGTGCCGAGTTCAGTACAGCTTGCCGCAGGTTGGCTGCCGGATTGCTATATGTACGTCTAGGATTGCACAATATTGCACAGCTCGCTGCCGTCGCTTGAAAGTCAGGATAGCTGGAAGCACACCGTGGCGGATATTCAGCAAAACCTTGCACTGGGTCGTCAAAAGTGTATGAAACAAATCGGCCCCATTCCACATCATCAACTTGAAGGAAGTGTCTTTTGCCCAGGCTAGCCCAAAATACTTGGCTTGTCGCGCGGAAAATAGTCAACAAACTTAGCCTTGATATGTCGATGATCCCAGTCACCCGTCTTCGGTTCACCTCCTGGGAGGTTTAGGGCGAAGTCGACTGTTTCGCTCAGAGCAGGCAGCGTCCATCCTGCACCTTCACCTCCAGGCCCGCCGGCTCAACTCCTTTTGCCCTTTCACACACAGCCATGCATTATTGCATATGTGTATGTTATGTGTATATGTATGTGCGGAGGTATATGTATATGTCGCTCAGAACCTACCATAAGTTCCGTGCAGCCTCTGCATCTCGTACCGCCACTCTACCAAAGGGCCCAGCGCCAAAGGGAAGCACAAGGTGTAGCCAGACTGGGCAGTCATCACGAGGAGGTCCTGTCAATTTTGCTGCTGGAACTGTTGCCCACTAACATCGCGACTACTACTTGCAGTTACAGGGAAAGGGAAAGAAATAGTCAAGCTAGTACAATTCACAACCACGCTGGTCCTGCGCAGAGGCACGATGAACCCAGCGAAGCTCGTCACCACCTGTTGCTGCCGAAGCCGAAGCTAGGAAATGTGCTTCCGAAGAAGTCCACTGTTGCTCGGGCTTGCACTCTTCTCATCCAATGGGAAGGCGAGGTTCCAGTTCTTGCAGGAACGATGCAAGAAGGGATGCAGGTCCAGAAGCGGAAACATGCCCTAGTTTCTGTGGCCTTCTGCCCATGCAAGCTGCGAAAGCTTGACAGAGGGATCTTCTTTGCAAAGCCGTAGGAAGAAACGGCCACTGCGAACTCGTGACCTGTGGAGCATGTAAAGGGAACACTCGCGAGCGCCACAGGAAGCTTCTCCCACCTTGGTCTTTCAATTCTCCGTGGGGAACAGCCATGACCTGTCGGCACGCAGGTCTTGGCGCTGCAATAAATAGACGCATTTCTTCCAATTAAGGCGAATCAGAAGCAGGCAGTGGCAATGCAATCGTCTTCTGGCAACTTCGGTGCCAGCTCAGCAATGGGCACCTGAGCATCGTGGAAAAGTCTTCAGCTGAGGGTGATTCTTCACATCGCTTCGTTCGGGCATTCCCCTCGCGAGGCTTTGACTGGCGGGCGCTTTCCGTGCATCAGGGGCACGTCCAGGGCCTGTCGCCGATCTTCTCACTTGACTGCAACTTCAGAAAGGAGAGGCCTGCCTGCATCCGGAACACATATCCTTTGCGTGTAAAGGCCAGAAGCGCGTCGAATTCCCGACACACAAAGGCCTGAAGACGGGGGCCCGGGACGGTGGCTACTGAGTCATACGTGTTCCTCGGCTCTTGTCTGCATTGCGGCGGATTCGCTGTTCGTCCCAGCTGTCGCATCAGCGCAGCCACACTAAAGCTCAAGGGAATGTACAGGTGACACTCACTCCTTCAATGGGCGCTGTTGGCAAGGATTTGCTCAGCGCCGAGTGGCTTGCTCCTGCTGCAGACAGTCATCTCCGCTGACTGTTGCGACGCATGTTCTCGGCCTCGACATAGGCCTCCCTGTCTCTGATGTAAGAGGAAGACTCGAGCACACCAGTTTCAAAAAGCACCGCTTTGTGCAAATGCTTTCCGTGCGCATCGTCCATCTCATACATTGCAGCTGCACTGACGTAGTGGAAGGTCAGGTCTCGCTTGTGCAGCTTCGACTCATCCACTTCCCATGCATGCAGACCAACAAGATTTCCTCGGAACGATGCGCTGGGAACGTCCACTGCCGGCTGCTTTTCAATTGGGACTAGGAGTCTCCGAACATACGCAGGTAACAAAGACGATGGCGCTAGGTCTATGCCGAGTGACGGATGGGTATATCCCGTTTCGCGGCAACTCGGCAGTTTGCCACGTCGCCCCAGCCACCAATGGCCTGGGCTTCTGACCTCTGCTCCTGCAGGAAGGCCTCCCGACCTTTCAGGAGAGCAAGCTCTGAATTCCTTGAACCCTCATAAGCGATCGCAACACACCCCCTTATGTTGCGTACGTTTCAAAATAACAAAGAGCTCCGCCTTGGGCCAAGAAGGACTTCAGGGCAGCTCGGCTAAAGACCTGCCCTCCGCCCCCACAGAGGCCGCCGGCTGGACAGTCCAACATTCCGCATCCTCACACAGCACTTCTCCTCACTCACTGAATCTTCCGACCGACATCCTTCCCACTGCCCCATGCAGGACAAGCACAAATACACCCGCTAAGCCCTGCAGCCATTCCCAAAATCTTCAGGTCTTCGAAGGACTAAAGGGATCAATGAAAGGTTGGGACGGGCTTGCAAGGCTGCTACTGACTGCGCTTCAAACGTGTACGGAGTTCACAAGATGCTTGGAAGTCTCCGCTACTTCCTGGATTGCAAGACATTGACACCGCGGAGCCTCTGATGCCCAGGATGAGAGGGTCTGCAGGGTCGAATCTCATAAGAGCCTTCTCGAAATGGGCTGGCAGAACATAGTTGTCCGTGCCCAGAAGCACGACCCAGTCTACACCTCAGGGGACAAGGGAAGAAAAACCCTAACACGCTCAGAGCAGGACTGCAGCCTCTCTCGTAGGCGTTTGCGAGGCCGACGGCATCTTTGCAGGCACCGCCCTCATGGCTGTCCGGGCACTCCCGCGCCGCATCCCAAAGCACCGTCTTCGCCTGCATGAGTCAAAAAAGGGCCCTGGCAATGGCTTTGTAACACATATAATCACACATATATATATATATATATTGATATTGGGCTCCTTTGGACCTGCCTCCACTGGGCTGTCCTTGGCATCAAGGCCAATGACCTGGATCTCACCTTCGCCAAGGCTCTCCCCTCTCCGCTCCACTGTCACTCCACCTGAGAGACACTGACAGGACTGGGCATCTGGGCCTTCCCCGAGCTTGGAGGCCCAGGTCTCAAGGCAAGCCTGCAGCGCAGGCAGCTGGTGAAGACCCGCACCAATGCCTCAGAACTTCCCGGGCTCAAGCACAAGCAAGGAATATAGATATCAGAAGCCCCATCACAGTGGAGGGATGCTGCCCGGATGCTGTACAGGATCCTCGAAGCCCCGTGACCGCGGTCCGTATCGTTCACGGGAACAAAGATCTTCTGCATGTCTCGCTGGCTCTGGAGCAGACATACCTTCCAGAAGCGTCTGGCAGACTTTACATGTGCCAAGCTTGACAAAATTAGCCATCCCCTTTTGCAGGAACTGATGCCGTGAGCCATGGAAGTGACTGTGCCGAAATCAGCCCACGCTGTGACACCGGTCAGCTCAGGCCAGTAGCCCTTGTAACCCAAAGCCTATGAAGCTCAGAGCCACTGACCTGCTTCGTGACGGGTCGTCGTAAAAGCTCTCTCGGATGCAACTCTGCCCTCTCGCCAGCTGAATTCCAGAGATGTAAGGTTAGTATCGCCATGGCTATGGCCGCCATGGCACGCAAATCGCGTGAATGGAAATGCGCCGCCTTTTTTTCGGCTCGCTATCGGGTCTGAGATGGCTTTCTGGTTTTCAAATAAACTCATTTCAGACACGCACACACACACACACGCGCACACATACACAAAGCCCGCAACTCTCCGGATATGCTGTTGTGATGAAAAACGGTGGTGCCATGAGAAGCCGACGGCGCTGATCGCATCCGGCAGTTCCTCATCGCCATCCGCTTCCATCTCCTCTTCCTGTGGTGCCGAAATGTGCCGAACAACGTCCACCGAGCACAGCTGGAAGGTGCTGGTGTAAGGCCTCTCCCTCGTCCCCGCCTCGGATACAAACGCGACTTCAGACGGAGTGGTGGCTGGCACGAATGCATGCTTAGAGAATCGTTCTCCTGAGACGCCTGCTTGCCGGAGCATCCTTTGCCTTCTTCTTTTTGTGGCCCGCAATCGACTTCCCGGCGCCACCGCGCCGAACAGCCTGTCCAAGACGTAACGACCGGATGTGGCATTCCAGATGCCAGAAAATCCATGCTTCCACCCAGCCCGCACCGCACCTTCCATTTGTCTGTGCGGATGCGCTTGATCTGAGAGAAGCCATCACTGACGACCAGAACCTCGGATCAGACTGGTGATCCAGCTAGACTTGTCTTCACAGTGGGAAATGAAGTTTCATGTTCATGTCCCTGGAGTCGGACACACTGACGATTCACAGAGGCATCATCCTGGCAACAAGAGCGCTTCCCCCCTCAGCTCACACCTTAGCAAGAGAGAGAGAGAGAGAGAG